CCCTGGGGCCAGAACAATCACTTCCCTGAGCCTCAGGTTCCTGACTTGTAAAGTGGGGATAATAGGAATCTCTTCTTCCAAGGAGAGAGCAGACGTGAACCCTGAAGTTGTGAGCTTGTATGACCAACCCAAGGTCGGGGAGGGAACCCACGCTTTCCTCCAGGAGTTCATTCCCTGAGCCGGGACCAGGTATCTGTTGTCTCATTCAGTGCTCACAGAGACTCTGTCAGTGGGGGACACAACCCACCCCTCCCCCCGCCGCAGTGTGGCTGAGGAAACTGAGGCCCCTGCCCCAGCTCTCGCAGAGGGCAAGTGGCAGAAGAAGGCCCGAGCCCACACGCGGAGCCTGCCTGAGCTGCCCGTGGGCCTCGCTTGGCTTCTCCCAGCTCTCTCTGCCCTTGGGGTGAGGACAGAGCACGGGCCACCCCCTGCCCAGCCCAGGAGCCTCTTTTGGTTCGTTTCGGTGTCTGGCAAGTGCCGGCTGCAGCCACGGCCGTGCTGGGCGCTGTGTGTGAATGAGGCTCCAGCTCTGCCCTCCAGGAATTCCACACTGGATGGGAAGACAGACAAAGGTAGAAATGACCATTGAACAGGTGCTCCAGCAAGCCGCAGACAGCGACCATGAGATCCACTGAAGAGAGCTATCTCGGCTGGGAGCAGCCATCAGGGAGGGCTTCTTGGAGGTGGTGGAGCTTGAGATAAACCCATAGGCTGGACAGCGTCTCACAGGGTGAAGTGCAGGCCGAGGCATCCCAAGTACAGGCAACCATGTAAACAAAGAAGGAGAGGAGAAAGCCATGGAGCCCATCCAGACTGGACTAATGGTACCCCCAGGGGAAAGCCAGAGAGGGGAATTGGGAGGCCAAAGGGCTCCGAGTGGGCAGGCTGAGGGAAGGTGGGCTGTGGCTGTTGTTTGCACCAATCAGAGTTGTGCTCTGGGAAGATGGCTCCTGGCTGGCTGGGAGAGGATTGGTGGCGTGGAGAGGGCATCAGGGAGACCAGCGGGGGGCTATGACCCCAGGAGCAGGGGGCTGTGGGGATGCTCCTGCGTGCCTGGGGTGTGGGGACTGGACAGGGCCTGGCGGGGGCAGAGGGCAGGGCTGAGGCAGGGCTGGGGAGGGGGGCTGCCCGCCCAGGCTCAGGGGACAGCCACCTGCACCTCTCACAGTGCGTCCCCAAGGCTTGAGCACAGCCCACTCCCTCTCTTTGGGTGCCCAGCCCTGGGCTCTGGGGAAGGTGACAAAGAGGAGGTGGTGAGTGGCATCTGATTTATTCTTCGTTCTTGGTTAGTCAGCGAGGGCTTCAGAGGCCACAGCGCTCTCCTCAGCCCTCGCGCCTGGAACCTGTGTCAGTGGGCGTCTGTCCTCCTTGTTCCTTATACGGCCAAAGAAAGGGCCTTGAGGAGCTCTACCCGGCTTCACACAGAGCCTTGGAGCCTCGCAGGCTGGCTCTGGACACAAATTTGGTAACCAGGACTCGGGGCTGTTTGTTTACTCAATCAGTTTCTCTTTATCTCCAAGCAATGTTCTGTTGTCACCTGAAGTTGCCCCAGATGGCAGGGAAGGTGGGAGGGGGCAGGGGACCCTGACCGAGAGCTGAGGGTGCTGAGAAAACGTCCAGTCCCCCCGCCTTTCACAGGTGGGGAAACTGAGGGTCAGAGAAGAGATGGGACGCACCCGAGATCACAGATCAAGCGCCAGAGCTGGGTTGGAGCTGAGGCGTCCTGGCTTTCAGAGAGTTGCATTTATGGACGGATATAATGGATGCCCCCAGGGAGCAGGCGGACAGACGGGGTGCCTGCAGGCCCTGTCCATCCCAAGCAGGCCGTAGCCCAGTGTTGGTGCAAGGTCTGGTGGACACTGGCTGGATTTCTTCTGTTTCATTCCAGTATTTGACAGTGAGGATGTGCTTAATATTTTGAAGAGAAGCTAAAGGAAGTGAATTATGTTTTCTCATTTTTCCAGGTGGGATTATTTTCCTAGTGGACATTAGTTTAGAAAGAAAACAAAAGCTACTCTGGGGTAGGATCCCGAAGGCTTTCACGCAGGACGACACTCCCTTCATTTTAGATTACGCACTCACGGCAGCTGGCTAGCTTTTTTTTTCTTTTGCTGGGAAAGATTTGCCCTGAGCTAACGTCTGTTGCCAATCTACCTCTTTTTTTTTCCCCTCCCCAAAGCCCCAGCACATGCTTGTACGTTCTGGTTGTAGGTCCTTCTAGTTCTTGTACGTGAGCCGGCACCACCTCTTGGCTGCTGACAGACGGGTGGTGTGGTTCTGCGCCCAGGAAACGAACCCGGGCTGCCGCAGCGGAGCACACTGAAATTTACCACTGGGCCATCAGGGCTCGCTCCTAACTTTTTTTTTTAATCAGGCTGAACATGATTTTTGATTTTGCAAGATATCAGGAAAACACACTCTTGAAAACCAAGAGAGCAAGACTTTTGATCAATCATGCTCTCTGTTTTGTTCCTTATCCGTTTAGCTTCTAAGCAGCAGCTCTTGGTCCGTGCATAACGTTTGTGTCTGTAGCCCTGTCGCATATTGAAGTAATTCAGCCTGGAAATAGTCAGCTTCCGTGAGAGGGCAGGCATACGTCACTGTCGCTTCCACTAAAGGCCAATTGTGTACTTCCACTGACCTCGCTTCTCAGGGAAAAATGAGGTGAAGTCAGTGGACGTGAGAGAAAAAGACATGACGTAGATTAAGTCTCTTCCTGTGCTGATCAGAATGGATCAGAATAAGGATTTGTGACCACACCCACCTCACAGGTGTCAGGTCCCCTGGAGGCCGCCCCAGACAGGAGACAGACCAACTCAGGGACGGCCTGTCTTCAAGTCTCTGACCCTTGAAGTCAAACAAGGAATCCAGTCCCAGCCAAGCCCCAGCTCCACCGTGTTCCCACTGTGTAACGGGGGAAAGGCCCTTCATGGAGCCGGGCCTCAGTTTTCTCACCTCTAAAATGGCAATAAGACTCCTGCTCACCTGATAGGGTTGTGAGAGGGTTTGATGTGTTGATCCCTTAACCGGTACCTGGCATTGGTCTTCTCTCAACGGGGAGGTGACGTTTCAATTGCTTGGTGGTGGAAGGGTGAGGTGGGGAGGGCTGACCTCTGAGAGTCTAGCTCACACCGGGAACAGCTTTTTCCCTCCCTCCAATCCTCCCTTATGTTTCCTGTTATTGAAGTGCAACTTACAGGCAGTGAAGCAAATCCATCTTAAGGGGACAGCTCAATGGACTGACACACATCTATACACCTGGATCATCACCAAGATCAAGATCTAGAACATTTCCAGCACCCCAGCAGGCTCCCTCGTCCCCCTCCCAATAAATACCCTCCAAATGCGATCATATCCTGATTTCCATCACCATAGATGAGTCTTGCCTGTTCTTAAACTTCATATAAATGGCGTCACGTGCATCTGCTCTTTTGTGTCTGGCTTTTTTAGCTCAACATTGTGAGTGTATCAGTTACCTATAGCTGTGTGACAAATTACTCCCCAACACTTAGCAGCTTAAAACAACAATGAACATGTATTAGCTCCCAGTTTCTGAGAGTAAGGAGTCCGGGAGCAGTTTGGCTGTGTGGTTCTAGCCCAAGATCCCTGATGATACTGTGTCAAGGCGCAGTCTGAAGGGCTGACCAGGGCTGGAGGAACTGTTTCTGAGACGGCTCCCTCCATGGCTGTTGGCAAGAGGTCTCAGCCCCCTGCCATGTGGACCTCTCCATGGGGCTGCTTGAGTGTCCTTGCTATACGGCGGCTAACTTCTCCCAGAGCCAGTGACACAAGGCAGAGAAAGAAGAAAGCCACAAATGCTTTTTTTTTTTTTTTATAAAGATTTTTATTTTTTCCTTTTTCTCCCCAAAGCCCCCCGGTACATAGTTGTATATTCTTCGTGGTGGGTCTTTCTAGTTGTGGCATGTGAGACGCTGCCTCAGCGTGGTCTGATGAGCCGTGCCATGTCCGCGCCCAGGATTCGAACCAACGAAACACTGGGCCGCCTGCAGCGGAGCGCGCGAACTTAACCACTTGGCCACGGGGCCAGCCCCCACAAATGCTTTTTATGTCCTTTCTGCCATGTCTGTCTGTTAGACGTGAGTCACTACGCACAACCACATTCATGGGAGGGGAATTAGCGCTACCTTTTGAAGGGAGGAGTATCAAACAATTTGCAGACATATTTTAAAATCACCAGAGTGACAACCATCTATATTATTTTCTGTTGCTGCAGTTTAGCCAGAAAGACCTTTCTCACCAGCAGGGCTCCCCAAGGATGGAGCAGGCTGCCTGAGAGGGTGGTGCACTCCCACACTGAGGGGGGTGTGAGAGAACAGAATGATTTGGCAGCTGTGATATGGAGGGAGTTTTAATACCTGCCAGGGTTTGGGGCTCAAGTTGGACTAGAGAATTCCCAGGGCTCCTTTCTGTTGTTTTTCCAAGTATTCCCAGTTGTCCATATCTTCTGGATTATATAGAAAAGGCCACCATTGGCCCCATCAGAAGTACAAAGTGAGCTGCTTGATGCCCATGGTGCCTCTGGCCAGCATGGGGGTCTCAGAGCCGCCAGCTCCAGGTCACAGCTCGATTCCACCCGAGTCGTTAGTTGGCGGCTTCATTACATAGTGGATCTGATCATCTTCTCATCAGATTGATAATACGTGGTCACGGTCAAGGGGTGAGGACACAAGAGCTGTCATACACTGCTGAGGGGCACCTCAGCGTTTTTATCATTTGTGACAGCACAACGGTCATGATTTTAATTCAAAATGTGCCTGTCTTTCAACCCAGCAATTCTATCGCTCATGTCCAACCTGAAAGAACACGCCTCTGTCCCCTGCAGATCCCGGTGCCGCAGTGTTTGTAACCAGGAAAGATGGAAGCAAGCTAAATGTCCGTCTACACCAGGGCAGCCCTGTTATGGGAGCTGGTTCTCCAGGGACTGGTGGGGAAGACCTCCAGAAAATAGTAAATGAAAAGGCAAGGTGCACAACAATAAGTAGAGTATGAATCCATTTATAGAAAAAAGTCAAAAATAAGAAAAATCTATATATTTTTGTTACGTACTTCATAGAAAAAATCCATAGGAACAAACCCCATTGGCCATGGGCGTTACCTCTGTGGGAAGGGGGTAGGATTGGGGATAAATGAGATGAAGTTCTGCCTTCATTTTGCTCAATCTGCTTTAGTATTATTCTAATTTTTAACAATGTGATTATATTTATTCACAAGTGATTTATTTAATTCTCAAGCAGATCTGAAGAGGGCAAGAGTTCTCCCGTGACCCCGTCTCCCAGAGTCTGTTGTTGCCAGTCCTGGTCTCTCCCCACGGGGCTCCTAGTTGCCTTCACCCACTGGTGAGGTCGTCTCCTGATTTTTTATGCCATCCAAGCAAGCTATTCATAGACTCACGAACACAGGCCCCACAGGCCTTAAGGTCACGGAGCCCCAGCCTTCCCCATTCGTGGTGACATCTAGGAGACCCTCACAAGACACAGTCCGCCCTGTTTGCACGCCTCCAGGGGCGGGCTGTCTACCACCTCACCAGGCAGTCCCTCCATGTGCGACTCTGTCAGTGGTTAGGTCGCGATCCTCCACGCTGGGCCCAACTCCGTCCGCCCGGGAACTGCTCTCCACAGCCCTCCTCCTGCCCTCTGAGCTCTCCCCGAGGCAGCCGAGTGAGGCGAGAGCCAGCACAGACTCCAGAGCAGACGCCTGCAGCTGACCAGCTCAGTGATTTGGGGAAAAGTTCTTCATACTTCTGTTCTTCACTTCCTTGCCTGTAAGATGAAAGTTGTAATAACAGTACACATCACATTGGTTTCTGGGGAGGAGAAAATGAGCTCGCTTACGTAAACTGCTTATGACATTGCCTGGCACACAGTAATCACTAAATAATAAGTATTTGAAAACAAGTCAGAGACCAGAGTTTTAGTCCTGACTCTGTCCTCACGGCCTCGTCTCCCGTCTGTGAAGTGACTGAGGCCTTCTGGTCCCAGAGTCCCTAGAGAAAGGCAGGGCCTGAGCATGAGCAAGGATGAAGCAACTTAAGATGTATGCACTTTTTCTATTTTACTCTTTGATGTAAAAATAATGGTTTGGGTCCAAGATTAAGACACCAGGAAGCCTGGCCACAATTGTCTAATAGAACCCTGCATCCTCTCGCACACACCCGGACTCACCTGCATGTATCTCAGGACGCTGGACGGACGCTCGTGTGAGAATGTGGGCCTAGCGGGTCCTCTGAGGGTCTTCCGGCCCCAGGTCAGGGTCAAGCCTTGGCTGTGTCGTTAGTGGAGGGAGCACAGTCCAGCTTCCATCTCTACACGGGCTCAGGATTCATCTCTAAGATGGAGGAGCCAGCTTCTGCCTGCCTTGCCCCCTCCCAGGATGCAGGGAGGTTAAAAGGGGGCAGTTTGCCCTGGGGGGGCGTTGTACCCTGAGTGAGCAGCGTGAAGTGTCAGCTTTGCAGAAGCAGCCTCGCAGTCGTTGGCAGCCCCTCCGCTCAGAGGAGATAGGTGCTTTCTGATGCTGATCCGCCCTGAGTTCCAGCAGAGCTTTCCCAGCGAGTGACCTCAAGGAGAGGTCAAGCTTCCTGCTAAGAGGGGTGGATGGGGGACCTGCCAGATCCTTCTTGGGGCCTCACGTGGTCTCTGTACCGTCTGCCCAGCCAAGTCAGCCAGAGCCCAGGGCTGTGCTGAGTCCTCTGAGGACAGGCCTGAGCTCTTCCCAGCACTTTCAGGAGCCTAGCCAGATGGGCTGGTGGTGTGTCACCAGAGTCCCTCTGCCTGCCTCAGTGGGCATTCCCAGCCCTGTCTGAACTCAGATGAGCTCTGGTAAACTCAAGAGTACCTGGGAGGAGTTCACCAGCAGGAGTCCCACCTGCAGTTCCAGGCTTGTCCTTTTGGATGCTGGGTGCTGTCTTCCCACCCCTCCCGTGTTGCTGTGCACCAAACATGCTCCCGTTTCCTCCATTCAGTTCTTTCCTTGACTTTGACCGAGAGGCACTGGGTCTGATGTGCTATCCAAGGGCTCAACAGAGCTTTCTGCGATGACGGAAATGGTCTATAGCTGTGCTGACCAATGTGGTAGCCACTAGCCAGTGGCTGTTATACACTTGAAATGTGGCCCGTGCAACTGAGGAACTCAATTTTCAGTTTTATTTAATTTTAATTATTTAAAGTTTAAAAAACCCAAACAATTCAATTAAAAAATGGGCAGAGGATGAGTAGACATTTTTCCAAAGAAGACATACAGACGGCCAACAGGCACATGAAAAGATGCTCAGCATCACTAATCGTCGGGAAAATGCAGATCAGCCACAAGGAGATATCACTTCACACCTGTTAGAATGGCTGTTATCAAAAAGACGAGAAATAACAAGGATTGGTGAGGATGTGGAGAAAAGGGAACCCTCGTGCACAGTTGGTGGGAATGTAAATTGGTGCAGCCACCATGGAAAACAGTATGGACATTTCTCAAAAAATTAAAAATAGAAATACCAGATGATCCAGCAATTCCACTGCTAGGTAGTTATCTGAAGAAAACGAAAACACTAATTTGAAAAGATATCTGCACCCCTTTGTTCATTGCAACGTTATTTCCAACAGCCAAGACCTGGAAGCAACCTAAGTGTCCATCGATGGGTGAATGGATAAAGAAGATGTGGTGTATATATATAATTATTATTATATTATACAGCCATATTCAGGAATATTATTCAGCCATAAAAAAAGAATGAAATCTTGCCATTTGTGACAACGTGAATGGCCTTTGAGGGCATTATGCTAAGTGAAATAAGTCAGACAGAAAAAGATAAATACCGTATGATCTCACCTGTATGTGGAATCTGAAAAAAACAAAACAAAAAAACCCAAGCTTGTAAAGACAGAAAACAGATTGGTCGTTGCCAGAGGTGGGGGTGAGGGGTGGGTGAAATGAGCAAATGGGGTCAAAAGATACAAACTTTCAGTTATAAAATAAATAAGTCATGAGAATGTAAGGTACAGCATGGCGACTATAGTTAATAATACTGTATTGCAATTTGAAAGCTGCTAAGAGAGTAAATCTTAAAAGTCTTCATCACAAGAAAAACAATTTTTTTGCAACTCTGTATGGTGACGGATGTTAACCAGACTTACTGTGGTGATCATTTCACAATGTATACAAATATCGAATCATTGTGTTGTACACCTGAAATATAATGCTATATGTCAATTATACCTCAATTTAAAAATTTTTTAAGTTAAAGAGCCACATGTGTGTGGCTAGTGGCTGGTGCACTGAACAACCCAGGTCTATTGGAGAGACAGATATGGAGGCAGGTGACCCAATAAGGCAGATGGACCGAGCCAGGAGTAGAGAGGAACAGACAATGCGCCACTAGAGGGTGGAGAGGGGAAAGATCGTTTCCAGGTGTGGGGAATCAGGAAGGGTCTCAGTAAGGAGGGGGCATTTGCAATGGGTATTAAAGCATCAGGGGTGCATCAACCAGTGGGTACAGGAGGGTAGGGGCATTCCACGTGGAGGCAGGACACGTGAGCCTTTGGAAGGAGCTCTCCGCCTGCACCAGGTACCATGTTACCCCCGGGGTAAACAGATGAGTAAGGACCGAGAGAGGGAAGGAAGGAGAGGACTAAACGGTGCAGGGCCTGGAGGGCCAGGCTGGGGAAGAGGCAGGCTTATCCTGTGAGGTGGTTGAGGGAATGATCCGAGAGCCTCCAAGGTGGGCACAAGACACAGTAAGCTCTTCATATCCAGCGGCAGCTGTTGGCCGTGGGGGGCCGCGGAGGAGCGTGCGTTTCTGTTTTCGTCTTGATACATTCGGGAGTATTGCCATCTTAGTAATATTGTCTTCTCATCCATGAATACGGGATGTTTTTACTTTTATTAGGTCTTCTTTAATGGACAATGCTGTCTTGTAGGTTTCACTGTACAAGTCTTTACTTCCTTTATGAAATTTATTCCTAGGTATTTTTTGTGTTATTGTAAATGGAATTATTTTCTTAATTTCATTTTGGATTGTTTGTTACTAGTATATAGAAATACAGCTGAGTTTTGTATATTGACTTTTATACCTTGCAATCTTGCTGAAATCATTTATTAGCTCTAATAGTTTTTTGTGGATTCCTCAGGATTTTCTAGATTCAGTATTGTGTCATCTGCAAATAGCAATAGTTTTGCTTCCTCCTTTCCAATGAGGATGGCTTGCACTTCTTTGTCTTGCTTAGTTGTCCTGCGCTGGGCCTCCAGGACAATGCTGGTGACAACGAACATCCTTGTCTCGCTCCTGTTCTGAGGGGGGAAGTCTTTAACCGTTAAGAATGATGGGCGCTTGCTTTCTCTGTCTTTTCAAACCTCTTTGAGATTATGTCTATCTTTCATTAGCTTATGGCAACAGAAAACTCAAACAATACGATATAAAGAAGGAAACAAAGTTCCCAGGTCCCACCACCGCCGTACACTCCCAGGCCTTTTCAGTGCGGATATGTGTGTATGGAAAATGGAGGCAACTTTACATAAACACGACCTGCTTTGTAACTAGGCTTTTTCTCTACTCAGTCTCGTTTCATGGACGTCTTTCCAGGCCTGCAACCAAAGATCTGCATCATCGTTTCACAGCCACCTGTGTTGTATTGTGAGGCTGAACTGGCACTCTTTTGAGCAACTCCCTTTTGGTCAATGCTTAGGTTGTTTCCCTTTTTCTCACTATTATAAACGAGACTGAGAACATTCTCATCACATCCTTCCCAACACTGTCTGCTGTGGGTTTTCCTTTTCTTTTCATCTTTGTCAGGAGACTCACTGTAGGTTTTGGGATAGGAGCTGACATGATCCAAGTAGTTTTAGGAAGCTAAGTCTGGCATTCCCAACCTACTGTGTGACCTCGGGCACGTCCTTTGCCCTCTCTGGGCCTCAGTTTCTTCACTGGTGAATTGAAGAGTTAGTTTACATGACAGGTTATCCAGCCTGGCTGTACACTGGAATCACCTGGAGAGTTTTAAAACTGCAGACACCTGAGTCTCACTCCCAGCGAGTCTGATGTGATCAGTATGGGGTGTAGCCTGGGTGGTAGGATTTTTAAATCTCTTTGAGACTAGACGGATTGAAGGTCCTTCCTGTCCAGATATTCTAGGAAGGCTGCTGTGGGGCAGTGGAAAGATCTGTTCTTGGCATCCAGCAGCCCCGGGTTTGAATCCCAGCTCATTCCCTCCTGTCTGTGTGACCCTTCACCTTCTCCAAACTTGCATTTCCCTGCTCTGGGAGGAGGCGTTAAGATCCCGCCCACCACTCAGGGTTTCTGGGTGTACAGAGGTTTAGGTCCTGCACAACTGGAAGGAGTGGTGATTATTGTTCTTTTCTTGATCAAAGAGCCAGCCCCTGGGCAACAAAGTGGAAATGGAGATCGTGAGCATGTTGGAAAAAAACGCAACGCTTCTCAAATTCGGCTACCACTTCACCCAGCAGGGGCCCCGGCTGCGGGCGTCCAACGCAATGATGAACAACAACGACCTTGGTGAGTGCGAACGGGCTCCCTCCCACCTGCCTGCCATCCTTCCCACCTGTCCTGGGGTGGCAGGGAAAATTCCACCAGGCCTGCTCCACAGGAGTGCTCTTCGAGCCGACTCCTGATTCGCACAGGGACCACATTTCCTTGTTGCCTGTGTTGGCCCCGCATCTCCTCCCCAGGGTGTGAGCGCCCTGTCTGCGGGAGCTGAGGCTGAGCCCACTCCCCCACCCACAGCAAAGCTCAGCTCAGCACAGGGCCGCCCGGAGCACGCCTTCAGTGGGTTAGCTGAGTGAAATGAGATGTGGCGGGGCACAGCTCACCCCGGCTCTGTCCTTTTCTGAAGCCCCTCCTCTGAACTCTGAGTCCTCTCCAGATCACAGGCTGACTCTAGCCACAGATCCCAAAGCCACCAACCAGCGCTAGGACCCAAACCCCAAGTCTGGGAGACTCCATATGGCTTTTAAGGTAAAAGTTGAAAATACCAACTTCACAGTGAAGTGAAACAGGTCACATTAATTTAATCTCAGTTAAAGGTGTAGTTTATGTTTTTCTAGAAAGAAAATGAAAGAAAATGTCACGATCTTTCTTATGAGCATATGCCGAATAGGTACACAGTTCAGGTGAATGAAACGTGACATCAGTCATAGACTGACTTCCAGGCACCAATGGTTCTGAGGCTCTAGGTGCGGTTACTGATTATGCATATTCCTGCTGGCTGCTAAAAGAACTTGATAGAGTGTCCAAAAAGGAGTATGTCTGATAAGGCTATAGGAAAATAGGACAAAAACAAGAAAAGGAGTAGGTCTATGGTAACATAATTGATCATTATATTTAGCCATGAATTTCCTAGAACAAAGGCAGGAGGAAGACAAATCAAGTTACATTATTCTCATACAGAAGAGAAGGAAGTATAATGAGTTTAAAAAAAAAAAAAAAGCTGCTTTCTGAGATTGAATTTTGAAATAACTGTTTTCTAAAGGACAATGTCTTCAGTGAGTTTCTCATCAAATTCAAACCTGTTCTACACGGGGTTTTTTGTTTGTTTGCTTCTAACACTGAATAAAATGCAAAGAGCTTAATACTAAAGTCCATCTCAAAGTGCAGGTGTGTCCCTGTCTAGCTGATAGATGAGAGGCCTGGTTACTACACGGAAGGCCTGGATGAATGGAGATGAGTGTGTGGTGTGCATGCACAAGGTAGATATACACGGAACCTGTGCGTAGGTAACCATGGAGCCATACGCACACACGCATGCACACACACACACACACACACACACACACTCTCTAGATTGAGTTACTCAATTCAACCAACATTTGTCAAAGGCCTGTGTTGCAGATATAGATGTCTGCTCTTAGGGATATCATAGCCCAGAGGCTGTTCATTCATTGCTCTCTCCAGATGCTGCTTTTTTCTAGAGCCGCAGGTCTAGAAAAGTCCATAAAACAAACAAACAAAAACACGCCCGGTGTCCTGGTTTATCTGAAGCGCCCTTATTTGAAATAAAATAAGAGCAAACCCAAGTAACTAAGAATCCTAATTATGATGGCGTGACAGAGGTGATTCTGCACTGAAGGCCAGCAACCGAAGCTCTGCTGGTCCAGCTGCGATCTGGCCTCAGCACCAGCACTTACGAGCCTTGAGTTCCGCTCTGCTATGCAGCAGCCTCACAGTTTCTTCTCCCAGCTTAGACTAAGCTTCTATGTGCCCCTTAGCGCCTATCTCAGAGCTAACCCAGCTTTTGCCTTCCATTGGCGAGATGGTCTGGAGGTCTTTTTCCTGGGAACAGAGGTTCCAGATGACCAGAGGTCAGGGGTGCTACAGGGAGGGACACTGGAATCAGCTGGAGGTTGGAGAAAATGGCCCTTGAGGACTCTCCCAGTCCTGAGAGCCTGCGATTCCCAAAT